TGTGCCTGGCTAATTTTTTCCATATATTTTTAGTTGTCCGATTAATTTCTTTCTATTTTTAGTAGAGACGGGGTCTCACTCTTGCTCAGGCTGATCTTGAACTCCTGAGCTCAAACAATCCGCCCGCCTCGGCCTCCCAAAGTGCTAGGATTACAGGTGTGAGCCACCGCGCCCGGCCAATGAGGGATTTTTTTGAGATGATGAAAATATTCTGAAGTTGAATTGTGGTGATGCTTGCAAAGCTCTGTAAATGTACTAAACATCTTTGAATTGTACTCTTAAAAGGGGAGAATTTTATGGCATGAAAAATAAACCTCAATAAAGCTGTTAAAAGTTATGTCCTATGAGCTTTGCAAAATACAGGCATCTTCAAATGCTATTCCAATCTTCTGCCAGACTGAAAGAAACAAAGTTATCTATTTCGATGGGTATTCATTATCCACTGTGAGGATAAACTCATATACGATACCATTCAATCATTCAAAAAATATATTAAACACTATTCTGTGTTAGTTACTGTGCTAGTAATTAGAGACACCTGATGAATAAGATAGCACACTCCTGCCTTTCACGGAGCTTAGTGGAGACAAAAACACACCAACATCAATCACATCAATGCAAAAAGCTTAAATCTTACAAAGAAGAAGGGCAAAGTGCCAAGGAAGAATATACAGAGCATAGCCCATATGCTCCAGGAAGTCAGAGAATTCTTTTGGGGAAGCGATGTTTAAATAATTCCTAAAGGATGAACAAGAATTAATTAGTGGAAGAGTGAGGCAGGACGTAAGCATCTTCTGCAGAGGGAAACAAAGGCATTAAAGCAGGAAAGACCAGAGGCATTAGATCACAAACGTGATTCAAGTGGAGAAAACTATATAATGAGACCAGGGCAAGATAATTCAATGGAGAACACGCTTTCTGGGGCCCTGCACCATCCTGGATGAAATGGCTTTAAAGAAAGTAGGGAGGGCTTCCCTAATCTCCTGTGTTGTCAGGGAACTAGGAAAGCCTTCCATATGCAAAAATCTTTTTCATTGGCTGAACGATGCCTAGAATTCTTAGTTGGAAACTCATTTCTTTGCTTAAAGCATTTTCCTCCTAAAATATAAGTAGGCCTGCCGGGTGAAATATATGCATCTAGATCTGTCATGTATTATTTAGGAGGCATGAATTACTTTCTGAATAAATTGATTGATGAAGAAAGAATAACATGATGGGACTAATTATCATGATGGGAAAATAGTAACCACTGGGGTAAGAAGGGACCCTGAAAAGGCTCGTGTGACGCACTGAGGACAAATATCGTCAACCACTGGAAATTCTACCAGTGCCAACACCTCTCTCTGCTACGCTTTCAGTAGACTTTCAGCAAATGTTAAAACCAAAAGACTAAAAAAATTTAAAAAGTGTTGAAAGAGCAGAACAGACATAGTTTGCCTGCTCCTTGAGAGACAGTAAGGAGGTTCCCCTCCTTCTCTGTAGGGAATTACTTTGTCACCAGAACACACAGAAGAATTGAGCTTAAAGAGGGAAGATTCAATCTGCGACATATTATATTATTTAAGTGCAAGTCATAAAGCTGATGAATTTTCATTTAGCCATTTTTTTTGTCTTTTCAGCGAGCCCTGCAGCATTACAGAAAATTTCAAGAACTAAACTTTGACCTGAGTGAAGTCGATCTTCTAGTCTGTTTGATAGTAAGAAGGCCTTTCTACCTCACCACATACTCTTTTGGATGGCTATCATTTACTAGAACTATTTGATCTTATCTGAAGTATGCCAACTTTGAAAGTGTTTTTAATACAGTTTTAGGTAAAGCAATTACAA